TAACTTTTTCTTATATTAGACCTATATTATAACTTTTTCTATTAACTTTTCATATATCAATTTCTTATCAAACATAACAATAACAAAATTAATAATTCAAAAAAATTCTAATAAAAATTTATTACAAAACTTAACAATTTTTTATACAATATTTTTTAACATTTTCAGGAAAAACTTTCATATTAAAGTGGCTGTTCAACTAAACAACCAGTAAGTGTCAGGATTTAACTTAAAAAATAAAAACAGAATTCTAAAGTTTCTGATACAAAATGCTATGCTTCATTGCTTGTCATTTTTGTACGCCATAGATTGGGTCTCCTTTAACTTTAGTTCCTAAGCAAGTTATGCTGTGTGAGCATGTTTTTTAATTGTGATTTAATGGGTCTTTAAACAATAAAGGTAAAAAAAAAATTTAAAGAATTTTCTAATATGTGTTTTAAAAATATAAGTTAAAGCTTTATTTATTATATTTTTTACTATTAATTTGTAGATTAAATAGTAAAAGTAAATTTTATTTTCAACATCAATGTTACATGAAATATTTTAATTAGATAGCTGAAAAAATTAAATTTTTATTTTTATTTTTTTATACAAATTAATAATAAAAATATGTAATAAATATGTTTCTAACTTGTGCTCTTAAATTATAGGTTAAAAATTATAAAAATTAATTAAAAACCTCTTCGCTAATACTGAAGATTATGAAAGCAATATATGTTTTCTGGTAGAAAAAAAATATACATTTTATTCAATGAATAAAACACTTTAAGATATTTGAATTTGTTTGTTGAGTATTTTTTTAATGGAAAAATAAATTTTACTAGTTTTTTTTTTTTTCTGTGCATTGCATGAGTTGTTCTTTAATTCTTTATATTAGAATTTATATTTTATATTTTTTTTATCAATTCGTAAATTTTATAATAATTTTTTAATTAAAAATTCTAATTAAGTGATTAATGCTAAGTGTGAAATTATTTTTGATAATTGGCAATTGTACTTAAAAAAAATTGTACAGAGTCACATTAAAAAGAAAGAATATTGAGAGAATTCAAAAATATTCAATATTAATCTTCATCTCATAATCTAAATAAATCCTTTCCTTTAAAAAAAAAATCTCATAATATTAGTTATCTTACATGTTTTATTTTTATTGATAAAATATATTTTTTCTTTTAACTAAATATATACTTTAATTTGTTAGACTCTTTTATCATTTATTTGACTTTTGAAACTAATAATTTTAATCAATCTTTTATATGTTATTTTATCATTTTTTTATAACATGTATAATGTCACTCATATTAAGAATATTTTAGTATCTTCACATTAGTTTTGGTTTTAAGTTATATTAATTATTATTTATAATACATTTAATACATTTTAAAATATATAATTACTATATTATTAAAATCATATAATAAACGATTATTAATTGTAGGTTAATGTAAATTTCCCAATAAATCTTAATTAAAACTTTTTAACCACTATATATTTTGTTTATCCATTTTTTATTGTATTTTATCCATCTCTAGTTTCTAAGTTACTATTAGAATATCATCAATTTATCCTAAAAAATTAAATTATAGAAATAGTGGCTCTTCATTTTCAATCATCATTATCATTCATTATAGTATTATAATTGTAATTGTGATTATGTTTTTTAATTAATTTCTCAATAAATTCTAATTAAAACTTTCTAACCATTCTATCCTTTTTGTTTTTCCTTTCTTTATTGCATTCTATCTATCTTTAGTCTCTAAGTTACTATTAAAATATAAACGTATCCTAAAAAATTAAATTTTAAAAATAATGGCTCTTCATTTTCAATTGTGATCATTATCATTCATTTTTTCTATTAAAATTTCTTTTAATTCTATTCATTATTAGTTTTAAATTATATATAGGAATTGTGGTTATTCATTTTCAATCATTATTATTATTCACTCAATTCTAATTAAAACTTTCTAACCAATCTCTACTTTTTGTTTTTTGTTTTTTTTTTTTTATTGTATTCTATCTATTTCTAATCTCTAGGTTACTGTTAGAATATGAACTTATCTTAAAAAATAAAGAATTAAAAAAGGACAATAATACATAGGTCTTGCAAAGTTATACACTCTGTTATATACTAATGGAAATCATAAGTTTTAACAGTATAAATAACGAAAACTATTAGTTTTAACGACACAAATAGCGGAAACTTTCAATGTGTAACGAAGTATATAACTTTGTAGGTTATATGTATCATTTCCCATTAAGAAAACGTTGTAGGCATTCATAAATGGATGAATGCAAATATATATGACCAAGGTTTTGTTTGATTTATTTCTCTACATGATTGCATATATATATCAAGGCATATATTTTTAGTCTCCCATCATTTTTATATTGACAATGAATATAATTTTTTTTTATTTTTTCTATTAAAATTTCTTTTAATTTCTTTCATTATTAGTTAGGTTATAGTTTGCATTTTATTTTTTCATTTAATTAATTTTATTAATTAATTAAAATTAAAATGAAGTAAAACTCTTTCATTTTCAATTATAATATAGTAATTGCAATTGTGGTTATTTTTTAGTAATTTTAAAATAAATCTTAATTAAAACTTTCTAACCACTCTATATATTTTGTTTTTCAATTCTTTATTGTTTTCTAGCCATCTCTAGCTTTTATTTTTCCTGTAAAAATATATACAATAAAAAACTTTTTCATGTGTTATTCTAACAATATCCAACATATCATATATTGTAACATTATGTGTAACATTTTTCATATCATTGTTATTATTCCATGCTATATGATTAGTTGTATATTGAGAGTTAATCCTCTTTTTCTACAAATAACATTTCAAAATTATCACTACTAGAAAACAACATATAATCGACAAAAATATAATTGACAGCCAAAAAACTGTAATACCCCAAAATTTTGTGATATTGTAGCATTAAGTTAAGGATTAAATTGTGGAAAAATATTATTTGGGCTTAATAGCCAAGATTTCAAAAGTTGAGGGGTTTAAAAGAGAAAAGATTTGGATAAGGACCGGGTATTTTTTCTTCTTTCTTTCTTCAGCCTTGCGTGTTCTGCTCTTCTTCTCCTTCTCACCCGCTGCAGCCCCAACAAGAAGCCTAGCCCCGACGCACCTCCCCTTGAGGAAACCGGTAAAGCTTGATGATTTTTGCCTTTCTTTTCTTGTTCAAAAACCAGATTTGGAGCTTAGAAACCTCCCCCCCTGCAGAGAATTTCCGGATTTGCTTTGCTCTGTTCTTCACCGCCGGCTGCTCCTGCTTTGTGGGGGCGAATTGCTTTGGTTTCTGGTAAGAAACAGCCACTAATTCCTTTGTTCTTTCTTGAATTGGCTTGGGCTTACTCTAAATCCTCTTGGTTTCTCCAATTTTCCGTGGATTGCGTGATTTTTCTCCTGCAGAATTGCCGCCAGCTTCTCCCCCTGCCAGGCCCGGTTCTGCAGCTGGAAAATTGTGGTATGTGGCAGCTTCTCTAAGTCCAAATTTACCCATTTAATTGCTGAAATCATCCATGCAATTGCTGCCCCTGTACTGTTCAAATTTCTGCTGAAATAGGGGAAGAAATTAGCAGCCTTTAAACGTGTTTTTTAGGCTTAGTTCATGTAGAAGTAAACCTGTTTTGGCTTGAAATTTAGCTGCTGTTCTGCGTGAAAATCCTGCTGTTTTGCCAGATTTTGCGGTTCACGCGTACCAGTTACTGTTCACACAGAAAATTCTGCAATTTGCTACTATTTTCTGCTCCTTTTCAGTCCGTTTCTGCTCTGAAAAATCTGATGAAATATCCATTTTTCTGGTCTTTTAGCTGGTTGTAGTTGAATTCCGGAAATATCAGTTACTGTTCATGGGTAGTGTTTACCAGTACTGTTCACGGGTAGTGTTTACCAGTACTGTTCACAAATACTGTTCACGCACTGATGACCAACAATTAACCGGGATTTAAATGTGTCACGCACCCAAATCCAAATCCGGGACGTGACAGACGCCGTGCACTCGTGAGAGAATCCCACAAATGCACAAGGCTTGGAACTTATTATATTATAATCTAATACCACAAAATCTGAATATAATATTTTAAAATTTTCTCTGATATCATAAATCTCCAATAAAGTCAAGTTTACAAGATCATGATTTATTTCTAAAATCTATGTCAATCTCAAAATGGCTAGCCTTCTAACTCGTCACTTTCCTCGTTTTTTCCCGTCCTTGACTTCACTCTCTGAAATGGTGGACAATGAAAAACTATGAGATAGACTCACTAAGTAAATATGAAGTGCCCTTAATTAAACTTATAGCATGCTAACAAGTATAATCATGAAAAATGGATATAGTACGAGAACGAAATAGACGTCTCCTCTATAAGTCATGACCAGTGTTATAAACCTCCTACTGGCAGGCACACTATTTGTTGGTGTATAATCCCCACTAGCAGGGTCACTCGTACGAACCGGCTCTACCACTAACATGTCGACATGTGCTAGCGTTTAACCCCCACTAGCAGGGTCATTAATAACATCAGTCATGCTCGTATAAAACGGGTTTAGTCCCGCCACCACTTCAAAAACAAATCAAAACATGTTTTTAAAAACTATACGGGCATTACCATAAATTTACTTACCTCAAATCACATTACATAGAAAATTCACTCCATAAACCGATGACTCGATCTTAGTGCTTTAAGCCATAATAGCACCTAATATTCCAAATAAATACATTTAGACTTTGCTACAATTATTAGCAAAACCTTGCAAATTTACTAACCAATGAGCTTCACACGAAATTTCAACCATATGACCAAACATCTCAATATAACTACACATTTAAACCCGCCTATGGTTGCCCATTAGTGTGTGAACAGTGCCGTGAACACTAACCACGACGTGAACAGTAACTCCAACTTCCAAAATTGGCAAAACCATAGCCTATTCTCACGGGATTTTCTCCAAAATCTCACAACAGTCAATTAAGCTAATTTTCTACATGAATTAAGCTAAATCATGGTCTAATTACTACCCAAATTCATCCCCAATTTTCAGCCAAATTCGGACATCACAAGGCAGCAATAATTCATGGACAACCTCAGCATAATTTTAGGCTTAAAGTGGCTGCCACATACCAGAATTCAGCAAGCAAGACCGGAGCTGCAATTTGGGGAAGAGCCGGCGGCATGGAAGGAAAATTCTGGAGGGGACTCACGGTTTAACCCAAAATTAAAGGAGCCCAACTTAAATCAAAGTTAAAAGGATGAAATCATGGCTGTTTCTTACCTAAAAATGCCCATCAATCACACATAGCAGAAGCTGACGGACAGCAAGGGGAGGAAACAGTGCAGATCTGGAAAATTCTGGGTTTGGGAGAGAGTTCTAAGTCCTAAAACTTGTTATGTAACAAGAAAGGAGGAGAACTTACAAGCCTTCGTCCAATTTTTTTCAAGAAATGGAAGGGTGGCGGTGGCTGGGAAATTTTCGGGCTGCAGGGGAGAACAAATGAGCAGAAACACGAAATGGCTGGAGAAGAAGAAAGAAGAAAAAGAAAAAGAAAAGTAGCCGACCCTTCTAGATTTTCCTCCTATAAGTCCCTGAACTTTGAAATCTTTGGCTATTAAGTCCCAAAACCATATTTCCTCTCACAAAGGTCCTCATTTAATGCTAAAATATCACAAAATTTTGAGGTATTACAAAATGTTTAGTTTGTAATATAATAACAAATTTGGAGATGTTCGGTAATGTGGAGACTGATAGAAATAGCATCGTGAGGGTTGATCCTAATGAAGTTTTCACTTTGAATTTGTGATAGTACGGTATTAATTCTGAGATATTTTGATTAGGTTCCTGATCGTTCTGTCAGTTTAACACTGAGATCGAGTCTTCGGTTTTATGTGAGTGAGGTAAGTAAATTTATGGTAATGCCCGTACAGTTTTTAAAAGCATGTTTTAACTTGTTTTTGAAGTGGTGGTGGGACTAAACCCGTTTTATACAAAAATGAGCATGATTGATTTGAAATAAGATTATTATTTCTTGTATTGATTTGAGCATGCCTACTTGAAATTTAATTGATTGTCCTGATGATTTGAAAGTGATTGGTGAATTAAGATTTTTCTGTTAACTTCTACCTGTTTTGTCTCCGATTTGGTTATGTTATTAATGATCATGTTAGTGGGGGTTAAACGCTAGCACATGTCGACATGTTATTAATAGAATCGGTTCATTCGATGGGGGTGATACACCAGTAAATAGTGCGCCTGCCAATGGGCAAATACATTGGTAATTACTGATGCCTGCCAATGGGTGGTTTATAACACTGGCCATGACCTATAGAGAAGACGTCTATTTCGTTCCCGTACTGTATTCGTTTTTCGTGATTGCACTTGTTGGCATGCTATAAGTTTAATAAGGAGCACTCCATATTTTACTTACTGAGTTTATCTAATAGTTTTTCCTTGTCCACCATTTCAAGAAGCGAAACCGAGGATGGGGAAACCACGAGAAGTGACGAGTTAGAAGGCTAGCCATTTTGAGATTGGTATACATTTTAGATATAGATCATGATATTGTAAACTGGATTTTAATTGGAGATTTTATAAATTCATTGAATAGATTGTTAGTTACAAGAGATTTGACCTTGAGATTTTGGTGGTATCAGATTGTGATATGATAAGTTCTGAGCCTTGTGCATTTGTGGGACCCTCTCATGAGTGTACGACGTTGTTATGCCTCAAATTTAAGTTCTGAGGCGTGACAAAAACTGTCGATTATACTTATATCATCGACAAAAACTTTGTCGATTATGATAAAGTGTCGATTGTATAGCTATAATCGATAGCCATTGAAGCTGTCGAATATACTATCTATAATCAACAGTCATTTTTGT